ACGTGGTCCAGGTGTGTGACGTGCCCCCTGACGTGAACAAACTTAGACCCCGCTCCACCCAACCGTGTAAATGCAGGTTTGTGTTCGGAGAGTTTTCAGTATCCACTTTTAAGTGAGCTTAAGTTTGGGAGAGGGTATGGATGAGGGAATGATGTTTATGAAATCCTCTTAGCTTCACACCTGTTGTAGCCCCTCTTTCCCACTTTAAAACCCCAGAGTGTGTTAGGGGCGCTGAGATAGAGCATGGTGAAGTGGGGAATTTGTGACTTTGAACTCAAGTGCTTGCATCTGGCCTTTGTGAGTCTGCAGTTGGGCATCCCTGGCGGATAAATGTTGAAGGTTACCTGTTATCTTTCCTCTCACAGAGCTGACAACATGCCAGTTATCTAACATATTTTCCAAATGTGACCTTAAGTGATTCAGATGATGAATAGGACTGAGAATAGGTTCATGGTTGAGTGGACGTTTATGTAGACAAAAGCACGACTGGTTTGCTTTGCTCCGAACCATGTGACCTGAGTTGATGCTGCATTGCCATAGTGACCTCTTTGTATGTCTTTCATGATTGACTGAGTTTCCTGTATGACAGCGAGCACTAAAGTTGTACCACGACTAAAAAATAAAAGATGATTTTTTTTATTTGTACTTTACAGGGCAAGAAAAGGGAAGAAAAAAGAGAGAGCAAAAGCTTTAAGAAAAATACCCACCTTTTTCTCAGAACTGCTTTCAGGATTATGAGTAAAATCCTGAAAGTGTATTAGAGCCAGCCACCATGACCCAGCTACCATGACCCAGCCATTATTGATTTATTTCCAAAAAACAATTACTAAGAAGGAGTGTGTATAAGTACGGGCGAGATATAGAAAATGTGTCTCGGTGGTCTCCAGAGTAGTCAGTCACGGATCTGCTTGGCCTGGCTGCTCTCTGCTCAATATGTTTTCTGTGTCTTATTTTCTATCGGTAAAGTTTGTTTGGACCACTTCCTTGTTGAGCTCCCTTTCAAAGATAACGAGAACAGTGCTGTGGATTAGAGGTTTATGAATCCTAACATGTAGCCCAATGGAGTCATTTTTTGGGCCTCTGTGTTTATGAATAAGCTGCTTTGCTATATGTCCTGCAACATTAAGTTCACAATTGTATGTGCAGGGTAAGGAAAACAAAACATATCTGTACTTAAAGTCATTTGATATTTGACTTTACAGACACAAGTTGGTCCGTACTTAAAAGATGCTGAGGTGACATACCTCCTCCAACTTGCAACAGTACATGACTCACATAAATACAGTCCCACATTGCTAATCCATTACAATGTTTTTGTCAGTAGTAAAACCAAAAAGTCTTAAACTGTGTATTTATTTTATGCTTTTTTGCACTTTGTAAAGAGACAGACATATTACGTTAAAACGTACAGTCTTGAACTCTTGTATAGTTGGGTATTTTTCTGTTCCACCAACTCTGAAAGATCTTTGGAGAACAGAGCCTCACTTATCTTCTCCCAATTACAGTTATGCCCTGACCTCTTCCTCCGTGCGTCTCCTCACAGAGCTATCACATCAACTCCTGTGGGGTTTATAATTACTCCAGTGACCCAGGGCTGAAAATGAATGAGTCATTGATCTATGCCATTTGATGTGTGTGTGTGTGTGTGTGTGTGTGTGTGTGTGTGTGTGTGGTGTGTGTGTGTGTGTGTGTGTGTGTGTGTGTGTGTGTGTGTGTGTGTGTGTGTGTGTGTGTGTGTGTGTGAAAGACAGACCCAGAAGGACAGAGAAGATCAAGACAGAAGTGATAGTGAGACAGAGAGGATCAAAGTGATTTGCTTTGTCCTGAGGCCCAGCAGCATACTACAGAATAAAGTCAAATAGGCACTACTAGCGATCTCAGTGCCACCATGTGTGTGTTTTACCATAGCAACACACACATAGTGCAGCTGAAGTTTTCTAGCAACAACACTCCTTGTGTTTTCCCTGTAACCCTAACTCCAGCATCAAACTTGACCCCTGTGGGAACACTGTCTCTACAGGCCATGTCTCCCTCTACTGACGTAGCTGCAGACTGTTGTAGCTCATCGGGTTACTGTAATACTAATCTTACTTGTGTTATCATTTTAAATTGAAATGTATCTTCCAAAAGTCCCAAGCCTTTCCAAGATAATGTTATTAATGATCAGGTAGCAACCAGCAACATGATTGAAAGCAGTATCAAATGAACATGTGTCAAAAATGTTGGCCAGGCTTCTAATACGGTAATGTTGAGCACTCGTTGACATTCTTAATATGAGTGCAAATCAGCCCAGATTTGCCGCCAGTCTGTCTTTCATTTCGTTATTCTACAATATGAAGTTTGAAAAACAGATTGTAAGCTCTCCAATATCCCCTTAGTGTCTGAACATCAAATATTTCCTTCCTTGCTATTTATATCTGGGTTTTGTATAACTCCCTTTTTGGGTAAACTATGGCTTCTTTTTGTCTGCCTCCTAAATGCCAAATGTACTTTCCATCTCCACAACAATCCCCTCTGAGTTGTACTTGTGCTTTTTGATGATTCTCACAACACAGTCATATGGGGTGTTGTCTTTTTTTCTTTTTTTCTTTCTTTCTTTCAAGCTCATGCTTGTTCATCAAAGCCTGCTGTTTTTAGTCAGAGCAGGGAAAAGGCCAGACATTCCTATTGTGATGTCAATACTGGTGAAATACCTCACTAAAATAGTGACGAAGATTAAATAAAAAAGGCGTGTCTTTCGAGTCAAACTGTGGCTCTCACACACCCACACATACACACACACACACACACACTCAGAGGTTTGGCTGAGAATCATCGTAGGCTGTGACATCATACTAAGTGTGAAAATGAATCAGTTGTGAAACATATGCTGCTGGGTCTTGTGTTTTGGCACTCTCACCATCTCTCTATCTGTGATCTTTATCTTTGTCTCATACGTAAACTTTATACACACAGCCATACACACTTTTAACACAGAACAACTGCCCTGTGTCTGGAATGAAAGTTTATACATCACTTTTGTTCCTGTGGCTTCACACCTGCAGTGGAGAAAACAGATGGATCACTTGATGTGATGAGAGGGTCTGGATTGGATATTGGATTGCTTTTTGGATTTGGGGATTTTGTGTGTGTGTGTGTGTGTGTGTGTGTGTGTGTGTGGTGTGTGTGTGTGTGTGTGTGTGTGTGTGTGTGTGTGTGTGTGTGAGTGAATGTGCATGCTTCTGATCTAACACTCGGAAAAGAGATTACGCGTAAGATAAAACAAACTGTAGAAGTGTGTGACGTGTGTGTGTGTGTTAAAAACAAGAGCAGAAGGCCAAACTATCTCACAACTATAGCTCACAGACTTCACACTCACTTAGCTGCTGCCCCTCGGAGAGATCACAGAACAGATAGCAAGTGTTTAGCCTTTTCAATTGTCATGGAAATGATGCCTGGAATGTCCTGTTTGTCGTTTAGAGACCTCCAATGTTTGTGAAAAGCATAATGACTTCTTCCTCTTAAAATCACTCTCCCAAAGCACTCCCAAACCATGAGTAGGCCCTAAAATCCCCCATATTCTCACAGCCTACAAACCAACTTTGCTAATCATGATTTCAAGTGATAATAACTTGCATCTGTTGGTCAGTGAATCATCTATTGAGGCAGTGAAATACCCTGCAGAAAACATACAAGCTCAAGAGGATTACTGATACAAATATTAGTCATGAATCATTGTTGACAACAAGGAATGTGTTAGTTAGCTGTTTAATAATGCTTTTTTACCATGTGCAAAAACACGTAAATATCCCCTCACATAGTTCGCTCTGTTGTAAGAACATCCTCTGCTCTTCCACATGCACAACTACCAACATTAACAGGGTGTCCTGACTTGGCAAAGTTGTAAATGATATTGGATTTTGGTTGTTTTCCGTGGTGAGGATGATGGTGATGATGGCAAGGTGGGACGTTATCCCAACACGTATGTTTTGCACTTGGGGGAATCCTCCCTGACCTTAACATTTACACCAGATGGGTTTATGGGATTGCCTGAAAGCTTTAGAGATGAGGCAGATATCCCTGGTGACTGGCGTTAGTCATGACCTGGGCGAACAATCACTGAGGGGATTTACGAACTCATCGTGACGTCCCAGTGGGAAAAAATGTCACAGGTTTAGAAACTCCTTTCAGCAGTGAGTCAGCATCATTTCAGAGCAGAGGTATTCCCTGTGGTGCAGTGCACAGTTTAAACTAAGCATATCAATTGTACTCGTATTAACGGGCTTTGAATATTGCTGCATTAGTTTGTGATGCTGCCAATTATTTTTCCGCCCCAATTATAATCACCCAATAATCTTCCAGATAATGAGTGACTGATTTATTATCATTTCAAATGGTAAAGCAAATTGACGTCATCCAGCAGTGCTTGAGTAGCTTAGTGCCGTCATGCCTACATGGTAGTCATGTTATTTTATGATTTGAATGTCACAGCTTGTGATCATAGAGCCAATTAACAGCAACATATGGAGGTGCATGTCAAAGCCTTTACTGCTGCAATGGAAACAATTGTCATGTCGGTTTTGCTGATATGCGAGTTTGCTCAAAAGTCATCCAGACCTAATTAATGTTTGTATCATATATATTCAGATGTGAAAGGACGAGCCACATCACACAGCTATAAGTACAACCTATTATAGACCTTATTAGAAGTTCATATACTTACTAATGCCTTTGTACTCTCTTATACGAAGTTGTTTGTAAAAAGACTGGAGAAATAGCATAATTGCATGTAGGGGTCAGATTTGTCACTTCATTCATTGTTTGACTGTTGAAAGAGCAACAGAGATTCAGCACCAGGAATCTTGGCTTGGAAAATATATTGCTTTGCCTTTCGAATTGCGTCTTAAATTCTGTAAGACTTTTTTTTTTTTTTCTGTGTGACGTAACCAATAAGTATCAGCTATACCAAATCTGATTCTAATCTTTGTGTCTTTCTCCCTCTCTTTTTCCTACATATGTAGCTTCGATGTGGACAATGGCACATCATCAGGTCGCAGCCCCCTGGACCCCATGGCCAGCCCGGGCTCAGGCCTCATCCTGCAGGCCAATTTTGTCCACAGCCAACGGAGAGAGTCGTTCCTCTACCGCTCCGACAGTGACTACGACCTCTCGCCCAAGTCTATGTCCCGAAACTCCTCCATTGCCAGTGACATGTGAGTCTAATATTGTCCGATTCTCCTTATTGTGCTCAATGTGATACCTTCTTTCCTGCTTCTCTAAATCTGTGTCATGGCTAGCTGTTGATTAGACCAGATCTCAAAGCCGCCTCGCAGATAGCTTGCCCCAGTGGGATGTGTGCATGACCGAATCCTGATTGTGTGGTGTCACTTCTATTTTTAGCCATTTTCAGGGGCATAAACAAGGTGGTCAGTCACAAAGTGTCCACAATCAGACTTTGTGTGACTCTGTAACTCAAGAATAATGGGGTTGATTTGGGTTGTGAGTTGGTCTGTTCATTTGTCTTATTCCTCATTCACACCAACGCAGACCCGGCGCCAGAACAAATCTAAAGGGAGGGCATATGATTTTCATGGGAGGGCACACAAAACCGTCATGTGCTGCGGGCCTGCGGCACAATCAAACAGCAAGGCCAACGGCATTGCGCAAAGACTTATTGCAAATACATACACAAATAACTGACTGGAATACTTTACCTGCTGCTATTAGATCTCTTGCATCATTGGGTATATTTAAACATGCATTGTTATCTCACTTTCAACTGGTCTGTACTTGTTATAACTGATATTGATGAAACTTATTTGCTTGACTGTCTCAAATTGTAATGATTGTGTGCATTGCTTGAATTTCACTTAACAGACTGTATGTGGTTTGTCTTGTGCAGTGGCGAGCCGTGACTTTTATACCTAGGCCCTCTGACCCCCACCCCTTCCCTCGAGTTATTACGTCACAGCGTATACTTCAGCGGAATATCAAAACAACGGCCCGGGGTGCAAAACGCATCAATGAAAGCGACCCTCTACCACACAAAACAACACTTGCAAATAACCCTATTTGTGTTCTTTGAAATTGAAAAGGATATTGCATTGTGTTTGTTACTTTCGTTGCAGTTGTATGTCTTAAGTGTAATTTGGCATGCTTTTATTTTGAAGGCGAGTTAACGCTGTTGACAGGAAGTTGTTGTTGCTATGGAAACAAGAAAAGTTTCACAGCGGGCGGAACTTGTCATAAAGTCCGCGATAATAACACCCACCCATTTAGAGGGAAGATATGATTGGTCAATTGTACTGTCATTGGACATTACTCTCTCGTTCAGTTACTATAGCTGGGCCCTCTGTGAATTCATAGCTGGACCGCCTGGACGTCCAACAGCTCCTCTCTTCACAGACTCGCAGAGACGAGCTTCTTTCATTTAACCATTCACATTCCAACAGAAACTGAATAGGCAGATTCGAAGGATTTATTTCTTTGGAAATGTTATTTTAAATACAATTAAATCAAGTTATTTTGGTAAAACTAATGAAAAATATAACAAAAAATATATATTAAAAAATATATTAAAAAATATATAATGTTTTTTAATATTATTTTGTAGAATATCTTAGGCCCTCACAGAGGGCCTAGAGGGCCCTGACGGCTCGCCACTGGTCTTGTGTGTCATGTTTTGCATTTTGTCTTTTTGTTTATGTATGTCTGTAAGTTGTTGCTATTGTCGGGACCCTGCCGGGACAATTTCTATATATATAAAGGGCAACATAGAAACCACTTTTGAAACATTGTGTGCGTGGCAGCACAAACACTGGTAAATCATGAGCAAGGCACACTGGTTAAGGATGGCAGCTTCCTCTTCGTTGCACTCGGAGAGAAATAGTAGAGACGGAGACGATGAACTGCTGTTAGTTCTATTATGGCATTTTGCATGTCGTGAGAGGTGTATGTTGCTGTGTGGGGAATGCTTTCCATTATTTTTGGCCAACTCTGCATCTTTGTGCAGCGTATACTCAAACAGCGATAGGAAGAGCCCACTGCCTGACTCGGACATGCTGTGGAGTGAATCGTGGTCACCTCTGAGAGGGAGTTGGTTGGCAGCTAAAAAAGCTATAATATCAACGACAGCTGACACGTAATAACGTTTCCGTGCCAGCTGATCTGAACCAAAGTACTCATTTCCTTATTTGTTTCCTCGCGTATCTGTCTCTCTCTCCACAAACTCTCACATGAAATGTGTTCTTTTGATGCGGCATGCCTTAGCAGTCCTTTATCAGTCTGTAATGCGTGTTTCCAGTCGCAAAAACCTTTGACAGTAAAAGCCGCATCAGATGAAGACGTATTTACTTTAAACTGTCTACAGGGGAAAGGCTGCGTCTGCTTTTAACGAATCTTCAAGCCATGGTCTGTTGTACCATGCAGTGGCAAAAGTGTGCTTCTTTCCTGAAAACAATCTCTCTGGATAACGATCCAGTTTCACCTGGTTGGGTTTATTAACCCCAAGATCATCTGGGGCTGTTGGTCTTTGAACGGTTGCTGGCCCAATGGTACCTGTTGATGTGCTGCAAGGTGGCGTCTGTAGTGGAGCCGGCACGGAGGAGGAGGAGGAGGAGGAGGATGATGCTGGCGGGTGTGGTACAGGGTGTGGCAACGCAGGTGGTGATGGTAGGGGCACAAGGAGCTGTGCCTCGGAGGACAGCGTTGGTGGCGGCCGCCTTGATGAGTCAAGGCTTGGGCTCGCTAACTCAGCCCCGGGGTTTGCCGAGGTCAAGCTTGTGACATTAAGGCGTGCTGCTGCAACGGCAGGTGCAGGGTCGCCAGCAGCACCATCGGCTGCAGTCCTTTCATCGCTATTTCGTTTTAATAAATCCTTTTAAGCCAATTTCTGATGTCCATTTTGTAATTCAAACAGAAATGGGAGTCTACAGAATGCACAATAAACAATAAACAAATCCAGAATAGGCGGCAGAGTGTGACGCTGTGATTGGTCTAAATGTGGACGAATCACAAATCACAACAGACACATTAATTTATTTGATGTAGCCTGCGATCACATACATCGTAGCATAAAAGTTCACCGTTTATTTATCATTTAAAAAAATGTAAAACATTTTTTTTTTAAATGTTATAAATAATAAAAAACGTGTTTATTGGGGGAGGGCAGGAATATCAAATGGGAGGGCCTGGCCCTCCCACGGCGCCGGGCATGCACCAACGGTGTTTCAGGGCCAGTTCGGAGCTGGAGCTTGAAAAGCACCGGGTTTTCCTGTTCACACCGCAGCGGAGCAGCCTCTTAGCTCCGGAATCCGGTTTGTTTCAAGCACCAACATTTTTTCTGGCTAGAGCAAAAGCACCGCATACGTCACGCTTACGTCGAGGCGGAGACAGGGGGAATCGTCGTTGAAGTTGATGATTACGATTGTAAAGCAGTTTTGAATGTAGCATGTAACGACTGTAAAGTTAGTAGTAAAGTCGTCCCATTTCTTACATTTCGTTTCGACAGAGCAAAACCAAAACGAGTAGCGCTTCAACACAATCGGCCATTGTTGTTGTTGTCGGTGTCAGCTGTGAGGGGTTTCCGCGCGGTTGGGTTTGGCTTTATGAAGCAGGCACACAAACGGTTACGTCATGACGCAAACGATGACGCAATGACGCAGCACCAGTCGGACTCTGGGCGGTGTGAAAAGAGCCGGAGCTAAACCGAAGAACCGGTTCTGAACCTCAAAAGCTCTAGCAAGGAGCTTGAACCGGAGTTGCGTTGGTGTGAATGAGGTATTAGACACTAACTCTCCACTGCCTTACAACCATAGCAGACTGCAGATATGATGGTCAAACACACAAACCAGCTGGTATTTTCTGGCTCAGTGTATATCGATAGCACATTCCTCTCTTCCTACACAGTGGTGGCATCCAGTTACATGTACTGTTCACTACAGGAAATAAAATATTGACTGAAAATATAGTATTTCAATTCAGCCTGAAGGAAATGACAAATAGACTAAAGAAAGAAAAACAATGTCATGCAGTGACCTTATATTTCCTACTTAATGCCGCCTTTGCTAGAATCTAAAACCAATGGCCCTCTCTTGACCTACGACCACTATCCATTTACCATTGTAAAAACCTTTAAAGCCTTTGACCTTGAAAAAAACACTTAATACTTTATGCCTCATTCTTTCATGTTTTATTCTGCTGAATTGCATAAATTAGGAAACTTGAGATGGCTAGCAAGAGGCAGCATGTCTTAAAAGCTCTCCTTGCGAAATGAATAATTCAACACTATTTTAAGTTTAATGTGTATTGTTGATTGCATACTTCCTTAAACACTAAGAGACATCCTCAGAATCCTCTTACTTTGTCAGAGTAAATTCTCACAAGAAAAGATCAAAAAAGGGATAGCACAGCCTGTATGTGCCGCCATATCATATCTCATATTCTTGCCTCTCCTCTTATCTGTTCACAAACATTCTTTCTGTCACTCAAAGGGAACATGGCCCCTCATCTTTACTTTAAATACCTCCTATTTGTCTTGTAATAGGAGCACATGACAAGCCTGTGTCTCTTTTGACTTTCATGCCAGACGTGTCAGCTCACGTGCCGGTGGGTGTGTGCATGACGTGGCTGTGGCCTTGTAGAACAGAGCAGGAGGAGGAGCGCTCTGTGACATCATTACCCTGCTGTCACCTGAACAAATGTTGACAGTGTTCACAGTCATAATGTAGCTCAGACGTTGGCAGGATTCTGACTCAAAGAGCACGGTTTAAGATTCCTTTAGTTGAATGAGTAATGCTATCAACACCTTTAACAATGCCACTGGGGTTCCATTTGGCAGGACTCTAACATGTGTGTCCAAGGGCTGAATAACAGAGACAAAGTCAGGAACATGCTCACCGTTATGTGTTCAGAAACATGTCCACCATCACATCCCTTATTAAACCTCCAACTGTTTACAACTATTACGCACAGTGATGTAGGGCCTCAGCTGATGGTGATGTGATGAGTAAACATGTCACTGTGATCGAGTGACACTAATCTAATGTGATGACCCTACTCCTCCCCCCCCCCCCCTCCTCCCCTCCTCCCCTTTCAACACATGAAGAAACTCCTCTGTTGCTTAATATTAATATACTGTAGATCTGCAGCTGATGTTTAAAGCCACTGTCTTTGTGTTTTTCAGTCATGGTGACGATATGATTGTAACGCCATTTGCACAGGTGAGCGCTGGAGCCCAATACACATCTTTTTATTTTTTACATTTGTAAAAATGTGTCATTAATTGATGTATGATACATTTTCCCTACAGGTTCTGGCAAGCTTGAGAACAGTACGAAACAACTTTGGTGCATTAACTAATCTATCACAAGACAGAGCGGCCAATAAGTAAGTTGCTTGCTTAACAGTATTTTGTTTTTGTGTATCAAACAGAAATGAAATCTGTCATAGTGGGAGGAGTGACTGTATCACAGACAACTGTTGTCAACATGCCAGCAAATCACGCATGTTTGATGACAGTCCCTTTATGAGTAAGAAGCTGCAGAGATGTTCAGGTATTCACATGCTGCACTTACCTGCACTGTGTCTAGAGCTCACTCACAGTCTGGCCTTGCTCGCCCTCTGCTGATCGTATTGAGTACTACAACAACAGTTGTCTGTGAAGGTACCCTCTGCTGCAGTGTGCTGCCTACATGTGTAGAAATGATTCAAAGGAAATGGTTCTCCTTTATTGGTAAGAGTCGTATAGAGAGTTATAAAGGAACTATGTTCATGTAAACTGCTGATTCTATTGTTTTGGTAGGGAAATGTCTCAGTGTGTGTTTGCCTCCCCCATCACAGGAGATCACCCATGTGTAACCAACCCCCCATCACCAAGACCACCTTCACGGGTACGTAGACAGCTTAATGGCTTGTGTCCTCGATGAGTCTATGTGTGTGTGTCTGCATGATAAGAAGTGACATCTGAAGATCAGGAATAGATAATGCTATAGAAAAAGTCAACATAATTAATATTGTTAGCATTAGATACTTTACTTAAAGTCCAATTGTTTGGCAATGTATAAACATAGAATATATGGTAAATAACATACTATAATGTAGAATCAGATAAAGCTGTTCATGTATTTCTCAATAACTATAATGTAATATGTCTTCTTAGGAGAGGTTATAATTGGTGACAAATACTGTAAATGAACACACACTTTGATTGTTATCAAACATGCCTATTTGTGTTTGTCCTAAACCATTTATTACATATTTATATACTTGTACAGTAAATGCTAAATAGGAGGACCAAAGGTAAAGTGATACAGCATTAAACGTTTTAGTATTAGACATATTATTTTCTATTAGGAGTTTATTTATTCAAGCTGCTGTCAAATCTTCTGAAAAGTTAATAACAGTTACAGAGGTTTGTTCACTTTGGAATGAACGCTCAGTTTCTGCTTGTTGTTTGGGACTTTGCAAGTTGCCATATCACATCTTTTGCAAGACAATCACCCAGTTTATATGTTTCTAAAAGCAGCTTTATAGTGGATGTTAACTTTCAGTCCCTGAAGCTCCAGATCTCCATGTTTTCAATCCACTTACCAACTTAGAGACAAGTTTAAGAAAGTATTTTACATTTGTTTTTATACAAAACAGATGTCAGTTCAGAGCTTTAGCCTGCCATGTTTTAGGATGTTGTCCATCACCATAAACTTTGATAATTGAATGAATGAATGAATCTTAGAGTTCTTGTTGTGAAGAAGTCATGGCACAGACAGTGTTAGACGGCTAGAATAGACTTGTCCTTGACAGTCACTTTGCTTTTATCAGTATCAATGATTGCAACCTAGCTAGTGATGCAGGAGAGGCCGTAAAACAGCCACCATTAACAAATAGTTTCAGTTTTTTGTTTAGTAGCATTATTAAGGCGTTTCACACAAACAATCAAATACAAACACACATGCAGTATGTGCATATTTTACAGTGGGGTAAAAACAATTATTTGACCTATGTATGTTGTATAAAAATATGTTTTTGATCTTGGCATTCCTCACAAGGATCACATTCTATCCTAATACATCTCCTCTGCTTATATATTAGAACCTGGTGACATTGTGCTATATTTAGAACACAATCATACTGGTGTGCAGCCATTATGTGCCCTGCCATAAACTGGTGACAGCTTTGAGTCATGAGCATGATTGTTTGAGAGTATTGACTACTTGTAATGCAAAGGTTTGCTGAGGCGTTGACTGAGTCATCTTGCAGATAAAGACACTTACGGGAGAATAGGTAAAAGTCATTTAGTAAATCAGTCATTGATAGATTACTAGTGAATTAAAAAAGGATTACTTGTACTGTAGGCGCCTTTACTCTTTTTCTACTTTCCTATATGTGCTCATCCCACTGCCATCCTCTCTGCTTCACATGTGTCTGTCATCTGTTATGGACTCACTGTTCATATGAAGAAGATCTTTTGGAGCCATTTTATATTTTTATTTACAAATTGAGGCATAATCGTTGAGCATGTGACTACCAAACAGGATGAAAACTCATGCTACAAAGTTTCAATTTATGTTTTAACATTGAACATCCCATACTCTCAATCCGAAATGTTATTGCAGTCTTTTAAACTGTTGGTTTATATTCTAGATATGACATTAATATGAGTGAGGCCACTACTCTGAATTACTCCTTTCTCTCTCTCTCTCTCTAGATATTGCATCTTGTACTTTATATGAAAAAACAGGGCTTATAATTGTAATAATTTAAGTACCCAGAAAAATAGGATATTATATTTATTTATGTCCCAGGCCTCCACAAATCTATTAGATGATTTAGGATGAACAGTTCTTTCTTTATCCATATGGGGCATAGTGCCAAGATTGTCCTTTCTCTTTCATCCTTATCATTTGAATCCCCACAACATAGGTTTAAAGAAATATTTAAAACATTTAAAAAAGCATTATCAAATTAACCATTGCATCAGGTTGGTAGGTATGTTATGGGTTTTTTATAATTTGCACATGATATCTTAAACCATAACTAAAGCTGCAGAACATATACAAGTAAGCATAACAACTGATATCACATCAATGTGATTTCTTTGTAGTCCAGCCTCCCCTCTCTGCATATTTCTCTCCTTCTCTCTCATGTCCTTCCTCTCACAGTCCGACTTCACTGCCGAGCTGCTCCGGTACATAGTTTGGCTGCAGCCCTGCGTCTGTGCAGCAGAGTGGCCTCTCCGAGCGCCGGTGTCTGATGTCGCACTAAGCATGAGAAGAATGTCATTGACGTCAGTGCAGTTGCTGTCAGAAAGAGTAGCACCCCAGCCACTGACACCACACCAGGGAGAGAGAGAAAGAAAGAGGAGAGAGACAGAAAGGATACAAAAGAGGGAGGAGGAAGGTATTTCAGAGATCAGCGGAGGAAACAAGGAGTGTGAGGAGGAGGGGGGATTTGTCAAAGACAATAGGGGGGATATTGAAAAAGAGAGGTTAAGAGATGGTCATGCTTATACACTAAATAGTCATGCCTTGATATAAAAGTGGTGTGCATAGTAGGTGTCTTTGAGGGGGTCTAATGGACTGAAAATGTACATTTAGCTGAAATGACATCATGTGATTGTAATCTGCTTTCTCTATATGTTACATTAGCTGTTACTGAATTACAGTTAAAGGGACCCCCCTAGATCACAGATCACATAGCATTAAGAGCCTGTGCTTTCCCAAATTAGTCAAGGCATCAATATTAATTGGCTTCTGACAAGGTGACCTTTTCTTTCAACATAGGCTGACTTTGAGGGATGCATGTCTTACATTTATGATAAAAAGTAACCAAAGGATGCTTTGATGTAGGGCTAACGCTCTGCCATCTTTACCATATCGTCAGCAATCTACTTGTTTACCTCTGTTTTGGTGGATTTGTATGCTGAACACATATTAGCATGCAGGCACACATAGTATAGGGGAGCTCCTAGCTCTGCCTCTACTCCTCTTTTATTCCAGTCCACAATTTCTCACTCTCCCTTCCCCATCCACAGTGCAGTCCTCTCAGGCTTTAGGTACAGCTTGGGGAGAGTAGCACGTTTGGCTACCAGGGACGCCGAAGCAACAGAAGCCCACCCCCTATACACAGAGCATCTATAGGAAACTATCCTAAAAACACAACGGATTATACCCTTTGCTTCCCGGACACCATGGATATTTTCATTAGCAGAGAGGCTAAGAGGACAAAATGATGATGTGTTTTGGTTAGCATTTTGTCTTGTGTCAGTGTGTGTGTGTGTGTGTGTGTGTGTGTGTGTGTGTGTGTGTGTGTGTGTGTGTGTGTGTGTGTGTGTGTGTGTGTGTGTGTGTGTGTGTGTGTAGGCATGTGTGTGTGTCTGAATGCGTCCGTGTGTGTTTTGGATGTCTTTGAATTCGTTCACCATGTCAGGATGCTGTGAGCAATCTGGTGTGTGTTCCTCGCTGGACAGTATTGACGTGGATCTTGACTGGTTCTGATCCTCTTTTCCACCTCCCCTGTCTTCCCTCCATCCCGCCTATAGCAGACATGGGCCTGCTAAGCAGACTGCTGTTCATCCTGCTACATGACTGGAATTACATCTCTCTTATGAATAATAGCGAAAACCTTACACACCTAGATCACTGACTGTGATATATGTGCTCTGTATGGGATATGGTGAATATCTGAGAAATTGCTTGTTCTCCTTTTTCTGTGTGGGTTACCTCTGTATTCTCTGCTGTGACCCTCTTCCTGTTAACATTTATTTGGACACCCAGAACTGGCTCAGGGGTGGCTGTTTGCCATCTATCACCTTTACTGTCCTCCCTGGGATTGTATCTAACTCACTCTTAAAGGAAGAATCCAGGATTTGAACTGTAGGACTGCACAGGAGGTTTTTTTCTCCAAGGAAATCAGGAAGCTCTGCCCCCGCTGACCTGTGACTGCTCCTCTGTGGGTCAGGACACAGGACCCCCCCCCCCCCCAGGCCCGCAGCTGGCCCACCTGTCCAGTATGAAGAGTCACCCATGTGTCTACTCGGGGTATCCCAGCTTAGCTGTATGTGGGGTGGGAGACGCCGGGCCTGGACCGTCCCCTAGCCCTCTGAAGCGGGCCCTTACTGACCCCTTGCCCTCCTGTCTTGCCCCTGCAGAGGAGGCCTACCAGAAACTGGCCACTGAGACCCTGGAGGAGCTGGACTGGTGTCTGGACCAGCTGGAGACGCTGCAGACAAGACACTCCGTCAGCGAGATGGCTTCCAACAAGGTAAGCATCACAGCAAAAAGTTTATAACAACTCGTTAAGTTTCTTTCTGGTGGCAAACACATCTGTAGGACTTTGTAGGATTTTCTTCGGCAAGACTTGAATTCCCCAATTGTGTGAATGCACTTCCAGTGTTATTTATTGAAACATTTTCCAAAACTTCCACCCAGGATTCACTACGGTCTGTTTTGTTGCTGATGAAAACAGCACATATATGTTATCTACATATGTTTGTTACAGGTTTAAAAAGTATTTGTGGTTGTCATTAACATCTGAAACATGGCTGTAAACAGCATTGTTTCATTAAAGGATAACTTCAGGTCCTCTCATGAGGTTGAGTTCTTATAAATAATAATACATTTGACTTTTTTTGTTAGTATCTACAAATACAACCATACATAAATGAAGAAATATAGAATGCAAATGATCTCTATGTAATACATGTATACTGTTTGGTCAGTCAGCAGCAGAGAAACGGTGTTAATTGTTAAATGACAGATAATGCTGATTAGCAGCTCAACTTTATAAACATTTCCAAGAGCAGAGAGATTTAACACATTAAAGATTGTTGATTTTATATATTTTATTGGCTGTATTACAATATTTAATAGACATTTCCCTCCTCTGTGTGTGATGTGGTCCATTGCCATAAAGCCTTTTTCCTTGTTCATTTGTCAGGTGTATATCAAACCGACCTGACTCGCTAATATCTCATGAATTCATTATTTGGTTGTTTATATTTATGTTTATTTATTTTGATGCCGTTTTCAGTCTTATACCATCAATAGGGACATAGGACTTTTTGTCGTCTATTTTTTGTGTGTTAGTGATCGCATCGTCATGTAGGCAGGGGATTGTGCTATGAGCATATTCTGTGTGTGTGTGTGTGTGTGTGTGTGTGTGTGTGTGTGTGTGTGTGTGTGTGTGTGTGTGTGTGTGTGGAAAGAGGGAGGCTGCTATGCCACTCTGAATGCTGATCGGCTCTGGTGATGTCACACACTGTGATGTCACAGGAGGGGGGATGGATGGAGAGCAGAGGCAGGGAGGACGGACAGACAAAGGAATATCACACACACACACACACACACTCACACATTGCTGATGTTACCATCACATGCATGACCCGGACATCTGCTTAATTTAAAAGGGATTTATTTTTATTTTAAATAAGTAAAAACCTGTAACACGCTCTGTCTCACTATTGCTTACCAGGACAGCTATCTCTGGTTGTCATGGCAACAGCTAAAGGTCCAACCAGCCTGCTATCTCACTCCAGCAACACACACATACACATCATAGGACATACAGTGATTACATACTCCACACATAGTCTTTGTTTTGTGTCTATCCTGCACACTTTTATTTTACGTTGAACACTCAACACAAGCTATTCATCGTTAAAGGAAGAATTGAGATTAGAAAGAAACAATAACATGGAATACCCTTGATGTAAATTCAATTGAGTTACTAAAGAAAGTGCTCTCATTTCCACTGTTTCCTGTGACATTCCTGTGAAAGTCACCACCTCTACCTTTGCTTTAGCAGTGTCGTTTAGCGGTCACATTTGTTGGTGTTTACTCTGTGGAAGCTGTGCAGTTAGTTCTGCTTTGCATGTCCCCAAGTAATGACCCCAATCAGAATCTAACATTATCTAGAGAAATAGTGTATGTCATCTCTGCTTTTCAGCGTCAGGGGCAGTTATAACAGTAGGTCAAACAAGGTGACATAACTGTTTGCCTAAAAGGAACTCAAACTATGGAGAGAATACATGTTTAGTATTACACAGCAGCTGATACACATACTCAACAAACAAGGGTTCATCCGTGTCAACATCTCCTTCCAAGCATACCTGTTTTTTACAGAGCCCAGTAATACAACTGTCAAATTATGATTTAGTTAACTTTTTGTGAGTTGATATTAATGAAATAGTCTCTATTGACCACATGCCCCTGAATTGATTTAAAATATAAACCCCATTTTATCAGACTTTGTGATATAAACTGATATTGTATCACTGTCCAAAGAATATGTATCATATCATATTATGATACAAACAAATGTTGACACCCTTCTTAGAAATGTAGTACAATTCATTATACCTTTCATATTTATTTTGAGATGAATGCATCTCTTTAGCCGAGCATTCCACTGGTGGTTTATCTGGTGGCTCTTGTTACATTACATTACATTGCATTTAGCTGACGCTTTTGTCCAAAGCGACTTACAATAAGTACATTCGACCAGGAAGACACAACCTTGAAGAAAACAGAATCATATAAGTACATCAGGTTTCATAGAGCCAAACATTTCAAGTGCTACTCAACTGGCTTTAGGTAAGCCAGTCCTTTATTAGTATAAAAGTGCTTTGTTAATAGTTCTAACGCTCGAAGTGGAGTCGAAAGAGATGAGTTTTCAGTTTGCGCCGGAAGATGTGCAAGCTATCTGCCGTCCTGATGTCAATAGGGGAGCTCATTCCACCATCTTGGAGCCAGGACAGCAAACCCACGTGTTTTTGCCGATGGGAACTTGGGTCCCCCTCGCAGCGAGTCGTTTGGCTGATGCAGAGCGTAGTGCACGCGCTGGGGTGTACGGTTTAACCATGTCCTGGATGTACGAAGGGCCAGATCCATTCGCAGCATGGTAAGCAAGTACCAGTGTCTTGAAGTGGATTCTAGCAGTTACCGGAAGCCAGTGAAGGGAGCGGAGGAGCGGAGTGGTGTGGGAATATTTAGGAAGGTTGAAGACCAGACAAGCCGCTGCATTCTGGATGAGCTGCAGAGGTCGGATGGCACATGCAGGTAGACCAGCCAGGAGGGAGTTGCAGTAGTCTAGGCGTGAGATGACGAGAGCCTGGACCAGAACCTGCGTTGCTTTCTGAGTCAGCTGGGGACGTATCTTCCTGATGTTGTAAAGCGTGTATCTGCAGCAACGGGTTGTAGCAGCGATGTTTGCAGTGAAGGACAGGTTGTTATCTAGGGTCACACCCAGATTCCTTGCAGTCTGAGTCGGGGAAACAACTGAGGTGCCGATGTTGATTGTTAGGTCAAGAGTGGGACAATCTTTTCCCGGGAGGAAGAGCAGCTCAGTCTTGTCAAGGTTGAGCTTGAGGTGGTGAGCAGACATCCACTGAGAGATGTCAGCTAGACAAGCAGAGATGCGTGCAACGACCTGGGTCTCTGAGCGGGGAAAGGACAGAATTAATTGGGTGTCATCAGCGTAGCAGTGGTAAGAAAAACCTGTTTAGGATGTTCTTGTTGTGTATGTGTCGGAGTTTCCAGAATCAGCGACTGGTCTTCTTCTTGCTCGGCCTCAGGAACAATGTAACCGGTCAAGTGTTCAGTCTCTTCATGGTCTAATCATTTAGGACAGTAAGAATAGGAAGATACTCTTGATTCACTGCTTGGACCCACTTAGGGTAGAAACAATAGTTTTAAGGCCTCAGCTCAAAAATACTTGGTGTCCACTTGATCACTGCTGTGTCCCTAAAGTTAGATTTATTTGTCTAAATTGTGTCATAAGTCTGTTTTAATTCTCAGTCTCATACATGCAAGTCAAAGTCATTCTTAAGTAGCTGATAGGTTTTATCGTTTGGATTTTTTTTACTGAGGGTTGGATTTCTTTACGACTGTTTGTCAGTACTCCTACTGAATGATTAGAATTGCTATTTTATTAATCTATGTATCTTAATATTTTAAGATACATACAAGAATTTCGTTTTTTATATTTAGCTCTGATTCCTTATAATTACCATTTAACTTCTTACATACTCTATATTTCCTTCTCCATATTGTGTTAGGGTCATAATTGGAAAACAAATACACTTGTCAGTCAGTGGGACAGCAATTAAAGTCCCTGGTCTTCTGTAGGCAGGGGGGGGGGGGCGTCGCCACCATAATAAATGTGAACTGTGAAAACAGAAAGAAATGCTACGGAGCTCTGGAGGTGTCGTGGGCTATTTACAGCAGGGATTGGATATTTTTGGTCACTCGAAAAACGAATTACACACAAGTTACAGTTTAGCTTGGTGTGACACTTTCCAATTCCTATCCGATAGTTTGAGTTCACACCTCTTTGCTTAGCCATCAATATGTGTATGTGACAGAGAGGGAGCATGTGTGGAAAGGAAGGGTATCTGCTGGTGTTATATTTGTGTATACTGTAAACTTGTGAGTGTGTGTTTGTGTGTGTGTGTGCCTTGGCCTGTGGTGGCCTGCTTGGCTCAGAGTCAATCAAAGCTACTGGATGTCAGTCTCATCTGCTCCAGTGTAGCTGTAAATTACTCAAAGTACCAGGATGAGTGTGGAGGTGGGGTGAGAAGTAAGCTGAGACAGGTTTGGTCCCTTTTCAATCCATGTAGCTGCTGGACCATTACATACACATGACACATGCATGTGCACAGATGCGCGCGCACACACACACACACACTAAGAGAAATAAAGAAGAACTGTACATTCAAGATTAAGGACTTAACTTTACTTTTCTGTATAGAATCAAAAACTGTCTTTTTATTCTAAAAGTATTTTAAAATTATTATATTTTTTGATTTAAAGGCATAATGCCCCACCATCATTACAGCGGCTATAAATATGTTTATAATATTGATTATATAATATACATAGTTTCCGGCTTTACTGAGCTTAATGTATGATTTGTACTTTATTTTCTTTTATATTCTTGAAAAGGATCTTATAAAATGCAATCCCATCAAAATGGAAGATAGCCAAATGGCAGTAGAAATAGGTAAATATGATTTGTTTTTGTTCACGGTTGATTTTTTTCATAAGAGAACCATTCGTACTGTTACTGATGATACAGCTCCATTCAAACTTCTCTTTCAATCAGCGTCCATGATCATTGTTTGCAACTAAAGCAACAACCTCTTGAGCTCAGTGACACACAGCAGCCTGTGTGGAAACAGTGCTTTCAGATAACGGTGACGCTCGCTCTTTTTGCAGGATTAATTGGTTTTCATGAAGAACATCATTTCAATTGTGATGTTTCTGTGACTCATCTCGCATGAGCACTAAAAGCTGACCTCAGTGTTGTATCATGTTGGATGAGGTAACCTGTTCTTGTTCATCATACTACAAACAGGGTTAGGTCAGTCATTCAAAAGCATACACTCACAAACCATGCCATGTTATGTAAACATGTTTTGCCTACACACAACAAAAACATATACTGTGTGACGTACACACACATACAAATGCAAAGCCACTTCTTCCTGCACTACAGGAATGGAAGGAAAGTGAAGCAGTACATTTTCCACTGACTTTGGTCCCAGCCAATCACACAGCATGTGACTTTGAGTCTTCCAATCTAAGCCAATTAGAGGTGATGATGAGCTCACACTTCTTCCATATCTGGGCCCTGATTTGCTGCTGTTGTGTGACAGAGGCCCAATTCCAAACCACCCCCCTACACCCTACCCCTACACACTACCCCTGCGTTCGCGCGTAGGGTCCGCCACATTAAGTGCTGTTCCAAACCAACGAGTGTGGAGGGGGAGTGGGTTATCAAGCCCTCAAACAGCGAGTCTGCATCGGTGCTGACTTCACCTGCTGCCCTACCTGACCGGACTCAACGCTGGGTGTGTCGCCATGAAACAAGCTGTGTACAAGTAGTTCCAGCAAACATCCACTGATAAATTGCGATGTTAATAACCTCATGATAACCTCATATTATAGACTGTTGCAAAAACTAAGAAGCTTATACAAATCAGGTTTAAAACTAAAAGAGCTTTACAAAAACACAATTAAAGATGTTTGGAGTTTTATTTTAGTTAATCATTTACATTTTTTGTCCAACAGATGCTGATTTGAAACCGTTGTTACATACAGTTATGGCATTTCCTGTTTCTACCGGGCTTGCCGCTGTATTTACTCCCTCCATCTGACAGGAGGGAGCCTCGTTCAGCTGCGAGTGTCACTCCACGGAGTTCACTCCGTCACGGAGTGGGAGTGGGTAGGGTGTAGGGTGTGGTTTGGAATTGGGCCAGAGTGAGAGAAGCAGCCTGTGCTCTTCACATGAGAGCTAGTGTCATACACACAGAGGCAGGAGCTGTTGACAGAATTTATTTTGCTGTCCTGGTGCTTTGGCATCTACCAAGCATCCGCACCATCATCAATTATTCACCACCTCAGCAGTGTGTCCTGTATATGTGTGTGTGTGTGTGTGTGCGCATGCACATGTCATGTGGATCTCAGTGTGTGTGGTCACGATATGCTCTCATCGTATTTTTGGATTGCTGCATGTTTCCTCTCTCAGAAGCTTCTTTTCCTCTGCTTTCTGCAACATGGGCTCACTTCTGTGGATATTTGCATCACAGGAAAATGATGCTTCCTTTATGGACATTGAACGTAGCTCTGAAGGCTCTTCAGGTTGAAGTATTTTACTGGCCACAGCTGCGGACTGTTTTCGTTCGCTAGCGTTTTCATCATCCAAACTATATTCTTGGCTGTAAACCTGAACCTTTGTGGATCTATTTTGTTAATTTGTCAACATGCCTGAAGCTAATTATCTACGCTCTGTGTCCTGGGGATATATAAAGGTAAGAGGTTGTCTCCGATTGGTCAAATGTAATTAATTATTCAGGTATTTTTTACCACCCCCTATTTTAATATGATTGTTTTAATTATTTTTCCAGGGAGTGGAAGTATTTTTTTGTTACTGAGGTTAATCCTTGACACAGATTTGGAAGCAGGGTTATATGTTGTAGCTCCTCGCCCACTCGTTGAACAATGCTTTAAAGGTGTGACATTTCTGGATCCATCATCCATTTTGATGTATCTGTGATAGGGACAGATGGTGGTACTTGCACTGTACTTTAGAACGCCTAAACTGTTTGGATTTACTGCAAAGAAAGTAAACATATGTAGTTCACTTTTTAAGTGAATTTGCATTTTAAAGCACAAACATTTGTACTACTTCTTGCTCATTTCATGTGTTTTATTATGCCACAATTGCCCTGCTATATGGAACAGTCACTTTTAGACTTTTTTTAGATCCTCTGGGTTGTTGAGTTGCTCGCACATTTCTTTATGTTATGATGGCTGAAATTTGTAATTAAACAGAGATATTTTTTTCTTAAATTTATAATAGTGATTGTATCTCACTGCCATTTCATTTACTTGTTTTAATATTTATGTGTCAAGTAAATACATCTGCACATGACGTGCATTTGTCGCTTTTCTACTCTATTGGCTCTTATTAGCTGAAAAAAACACACTACAGATGGTGCTTTGCCTCTTGGGTGTCCATTTTAAAAAGCCACCTAATGAAAGCCTGTGGGTGTTATTCAATAGAATGTCAATACTCAATTGCGCAGTAAGCATTCTGCAGTGTTGTAATGGCCTATTTTAAGTGATCAATATTGATATATATATATATATACTTAATCAATATACATAAATTATGCATTTGGTACAAAGCCAGAATGATTTACACAATGCAGTGGTGTTGTTGTTGTTTTTTTGTCTTTTCGTTTCGTAACTCACCTTGGAAGATCCCGGATTTCAAGCATTCTCTCTTAAGTCAATCAGTTTGACCCTCAAATCAAAACCCGGAGCTACATTTGTGTCTGCCACTTCAATTAGGCACACAGAAGAGAAAAGAGAGAATTGGGTGAGGGGGAGGCAGGGAGGAGCAGGCAGTGCTTCTGAAATTGGACGAACGAAAGTAGGAAAGTGGGTTCCCTGACCTGACCCCTAACCCTTTGAGCTGCTGTGTGTCAAGTGTTAAACCAGAAATGGTGACGTACCTGGGTCTGGCTCTTGTGATGTGATTGGAAATGTTTGCAAATCTCTTGCAGCTGCATCCAACAGGAGAGTTCATGCCGATTAAATCATTTGATTTCTTCACTGCCATCCTGAAAATGTGTTTCAAGGGTTTTCCGTTCATGGCCTCATGTTTTGCCTCAAATATATTTAGGGTACTGTTACAGTCAAATGATGAGCATAGTGTGTTTGGCTCTTGAATGGTGCTTGACATTTCCTTGCATTATTTGGGAATCTTTATTCAAGTAAGTGTAGGTATGTGATGGCTCTACGGTACAATTAAAATTGTGTTTGTGTGCGTGTGTCCCTCTTTCAGTTCAAGAGGATGTTGAACAGGGAGCTGACTCACCTGTCAGAGATGAGCCGCTCTGGGAACCAGGTGTCTGAGTTCATCTCCAGCACCTTCCTCGGTGAGTTATGACACATGATAGACTCACCGGTTAAAAAACAAAACAAAAAAATCTCTTTATGCTTGACGGATGAAAATAATGTGGTGCCAAGCGTCAGCGTCATTCTGTGGTGTCATATTTTTTACTTGGCAAAACACATGCAGTATTCATTTTTTTGTCTGAAACCTTGTTTAACTTTCTGGTTGAATCTTAACAACATTAACCCAAAACAACAATTTTATTCACCATCCTCATATTTACTTGCCACTGTTGTTTCACTGCGTCACCCCAGACAAGCAACATGAAGTGGAGATGCCTATCCCTCAGACGCAGAAGGAGAAGGAGAAGAAGAACAAGCCCATGTCTCAGATCAGTGGGGTGAAAAAGCTGCAACACTCCTCCAGCCTCACAAACTCTAATATCGCTCGCTTTGGAGTCAAAACGGAAACTGAGGATGAACTTGCTACGGTGTGCAAACTACTGAAATAAGTTAGACACTCGCATAAATGCAGCCACTCTCTGAGATTGACTTTAGGGTAGTTCTGATAATAATGAAAGAACAGAAGGATATAACATGGGATGTTTTGTTTCTAATTGTGTCTATAATTCCTGTTTCAGGAGCTGGAGCATGTGAATAAATGGGGCCTTAATGTTTTTAAAGTCTCAGAGTTCTCTGGGAATCGGCCACTGACTGTCATGATGTACACAATATTCCAGGTAAGGGCCGTCTCTGCTTTCCTTTTTCTTAATCGTTTAATACAAAATGAATGCTTGTTGAATCTTGAAACAGTTTTGACCATGATCTCTATCTCCTGTTATTGTGTTTGTAGGAGAGGGACTTGTTAAAAACATTTAAAATTCCTCTTGACACCTTTATAACATACCTGATGACCTTAGAAGACCATTATCATGGTGATGTGGCCTACCATAACAACATGCATGCTGCTGACGTCACCCAGTCAACTCACGTGCTGCTATCCACCCCTGCCCTCGAGGTGAGACACACACACACACACACACACACACACACACACACACACACACACACACACACACACACACACACACACACAAAGTCAATGTACACTTGCACAGACATACACACGAATGCCCAAGCAGAAGTCCACACAGTAGTCCACACTAAAATCAGCTTCCATCAAACTCCTGCTCAAAGTCAAATCAATGGCTCTTACTTGAATGGATATTTTTGTCCAACAATTTAATTCATGCCCTCCCTGCTCCCCTCTGTGCCTGCTTCTTTTGTTTCAGGCTGTATTCACAGACCTTGAGATCCTAGCTGCCATCTTTGCCAGTGCAATTCACGACGTGGACCATCCTGGTGTCTCCAACCAGTTCCTCATCAACACCAGTGAGTCTAAATATGGCACTGGCTTAGCAGCTACGTCAGCGCCTCAGCAGTGTCATTAGTGCGTACTCACAGACAGCAGCACACACTCACACTCTGATCCCCAGGTGGGAACATGCACACACACACACACACACACACACACACACACACACACACACACACACACACACACACACACACACACACACACACACACACACACACACACACACACACACACACACACACACACTGTAGCCTGGCACACACACTGTAGCCTGGCACACACACACCCTAGCAGATGATGCATATTTACTGTAGGTGAATGGAAAAAGCCATTTGTGTTGTTTTTTTTGTCGTATGTGATGGCTTTGACAAGTGATTCCAAGAAAGAGGAGTTCAAAGGTGTGATCATTGTCGTCCACAATAATACCCTTTCCTTGTAACACAACATAATTCAAACTAACATGATTTAATGAGAAAATAAATGTCCCCAATATATTGATGTAGTACAGGGGTGGCCAACCAATCAGAAGTAAAGAGCCAATCATTTTACTGTGTTACTGCAAAGAGCCACATCATACACACAGGCACCTGCTGGGTGTACACCTCTCTCTCTCCTTCTCTCTTTGGCTCTCAGCCTTTCTGTGTGCTCCCTCACTCTCTTCCTCTATGTGCCCCTCTCTATCTCTCACACATACAAAATGAAAATCTAAAAATGAACAATAATTGACACACACACACACACACACTCAAAGACACACCCTCCCATAGACACACACACCCTCTCACATAAAGAAACATATACCTCCGCTCAGCCAGATTTCCTATAAATGTCACAGTCCATGATATTGACAGAAATAGACTTAAACCTCTCCTACCAGTATTAAGACCAGAGGCCAGTTATAGTCAACCAGTAATATTATGTCTCACACACAAACTCTCAGTTAAAAAAAAAAAAGTGATCTTACTATGCATGTTGCTTCTTGAAACGTGCAGAGGATGTGGAAGGGCCTCAAATGCACGAAAGGGCACATTTGCGAACTTTGTTAATAATTTAATAAAAATATGCCTGGACTTTTTTCTCCCTGTCTGTATCTCATAAAAAGATTCATGACAGTTATTTACAAATAAATGTAAATAAATAAAGAGTATTTTTGTTAATTTTCCTCACATGACATCTCAACTTTTACCTAACCCTCTGACTGACAGAAGCTCTCCTGACAGATGCACTTTCTCTCTTGTTTATTTCTTTACCGCGAATCATCAAATTCGGGAGCCCTTCTATGTCAGTAGCCAGCTTTCCGGGAGCAGGCCTTCTCACATACACATATACAACTGCAAATTGTTACCATTTTGATTTGACAACATTATATTGAGTTATTACGGTTTTATCTGAGTTATATTTCTGCCGATCGGAAGCAGATCTCTCCCTTCACTGTCACATCGCGAGTGCAGTAAAGCCCGCCTCCAGTACTGCAGGATCTGCATTCTGATTGGCTAAAGCACTTATTTGTTGAAAACTTTGTGTAACGATTGGGCTGGAACTTGTGTGTTGTTAACCCTTTGTGAACTGGGATACATATGCGCAAAAAAAACAAAACACAATTAAAATTCGATATGAACTGAGGAGCCGCATGAGACTGGGCAAAGAGCAGCATGCGGCTGGAGAGCAGCATGCAGCTCGAGAGCCGCGGGTTGGCCACTCCCGATGTAGTAGAACACACCAGAGATGTTCACAAGTCTTTTTTTGCAAGTCCAAGTCAAGTCTCAAGTCTTTGGTCACGAGTCCAAGTCAAGTCTCAAGTCTCTAAAAAATAAAAGTCTCATGTCTCTTCTGGTTGTAATAAGCCTTCTATTGTCTGCTGCTATCCAGTCTGTTAAGAATACTGCACAGCTATATCTAAGAAATTCAAAGCATTTACTGTATCTGAAATATACTGAACTGGTGATATTAAAACATGACCTGTTCCAAAAGAGATATCTACCATTAACACCATTTACCAGCCAAATGCTGGTACATCATGCAAGTGGCTGGTACTGTATGTTGCACGCACCAGCCAAAAATAACTATGGCAATCTATTGAGTGGCTGGTAAAATTTCAACATTCACTAGGCTAGCCATTTGGCCAGTGGACAAAAATGTTAAAATGTGACCTCTGCAACCGTATTGTTTAATTACACTGGGTCTCTAATTACATCTTTTAAGTCTACTATAAATAAACATATTCCTCTATCCTCTCACTCAAACCCAGTGTAATGGTAACCTGATAAACCTGTAACATTAACGTTACGTGGTCAACAATAAACCTGTAACCTGCCTATAAACCGACAGATGTATTTATGTATGTAACTATGTATTTACGTTTAACGTTAGCCAGTAGATGGTGGCAGCGGAACGTAATGATTAACGTTACCGACCTTTTTTATGTCATGTCAAGAGTTGGATGTCAACGCCACTCAACGCAAACAAGTGTGACAAGCAAACATTCACTCATCTTTTCAAATATTCAGTTACAAAGCTAGTAGCAAGCTAAGTTAACATTACACAGCTGATGCTGAGCTAAACATGTTTGCTAACCGTCCATATGCGTTAATGTGACTGACCTCTCCGGGTGAGTTTTCAAGTGCCTGATGAAATTTGACGTTGTTGCAGCAGCATCCTTGATTTTAATATTGCAGACTTTGCAGTGTGCGCTCCTTTTGTTGGTGCCGCCGGCGTTTTGTTCGAAGTTTTTATAGTTGAACCTAATTACAAGCGGTACAGCTGCAGGTGTGCCGCCGGTCGCCATGGTGTTACCATGATGTTACCATGATGTTAATGTTAAAGGTGGGGTAGGTAAGTTTTAAAAACCGGCTCAAGATACACTTTTTGTTATATTCCATGGAATGCTCTTAACATCCCGATAGCCGGCCCGGCTAAAATAACTGGATGGCCTACCTGCCTGTCAGCCTCCCATCGGGGCACAAACTTATCTCGTGCCCTCATTGGTCATGTGCACGTTCGTATGTGTTGGAGGAGGGGCTCTGTGAGGAAGTGGCAGATTTTCTCCGGTTGTGTATTTTCAAATTCTAGCGATCTCGAGCCGGTTTCTCAAACGTACCTACCCCACCTTTAATACGCCAAAAATAGAAAACACAATGATTGTTCACGAGTCCCAAAACACGAGTCCAAGTCGAGTCCGAAGTCTTTTGAGCAGGAGTCCAAGTCAAGTCTGAAGTCTCTGTGTGTGCGACTTAAGTGCGACTCGAGTCCGAGTCACAAACTCGAGTCCCCATCTCTGGAACACACTGCATAGGAAATCTTTGTTTGACATTTGGTATGATGTTGTTGGGTTAACGAGGTCGTAGTCATTACAAAAAGACAGATAAAGACAAACAAAGATATCGTAAAATTAAGAAATAAGCAGCTAAACTATCTGCATGAGTAGATACTACTGAGGGCAGTGATGTTAATGGGTGAACGGAGCCTGGTAGGCTTACAGGGTTCATGGAGTTGAGCTGGTATCTGGAGTGTCCTCGAGCCAGAGATTGAACCTCTGATGTCTCTGCTTTCACTGACTCACTCGCTCCTGGCCGGAGGGGCCACAAACAAGGCCTTGATTTGGACATTTAGAGGAAAGCACAAACAAACAGAGTTGATATGCACTGAGGATCGCCTTAAACTTTAAAATATGTATGTTGCATAAGGGTATTAGTAATACCGTATGAGAACTGAAAAGCACTTCATAGTCCCACACGCTTAACACACATAATGTGTTGTGCTTCCCATAAGCCCAAATGGGGATTCCCTGAAGGAAAGGCAGTGTGAGTCATCCTAGTTAGGACTGATCTTCTGTCAGCCACAGAGTGACAGAGCAGGATCCCCTTTCTCCCTCTGCTCATCTGCTCCATTGAGGCCAAGACTAATGCATCTTAATGGAAAATCTAAATACAGCAAGAGGACCTTCAAATGACGCAGAGTGGGGAAGCCTCTGAGCAGAAAGCATGCTGGGGGTTTCTTATGTCTCTCACAGAGCAAGTGATGGACAATACAGGCGTCACCGCAGCACATACATGTATACATTTGGACAGGCCTTTTAGCAGATAGTTATCCCTTATTCTGTTGAAAAGTTTGACCTTGTTGAGTAGTATTTTCTTACAAAATAATCAAGGCAAAGCAATTACATGTTTCATGGTGGAAAAATTCTGATAATTTCATGGTTTTAGAAGTTATTTCAATTTTGAACAATCACATAAATGATCGATGGTGTCCTCCTTGCAGATTCGGAGTTGGCGCTGATGTACAATGACTCGTCGGTGTTGGAAAACCACCATCTAGCAGTCGGTTTCAAACTTCTACAAGAGGAGAACTGTGACATCTTCCAAAACTTGACCAAAAAACAAAGACAATCTCTGCGAAAGATGGTCATTGACATTGTAAGTGAAAAGAGAAGAAGCCAAATTAGTTATATGTCATTACATCACCTTTTTCTCATATTGATAACTAATGATTTCCCCCAATAATTCCCAGGTGCTAGCAACAGACATGTCAAAGCACATGAATCTACTGGCTGATCTGAAAACTATGGTTGAAACCAAGAAGGTGACCAGCTCTGGTGTCCTGCTGCTGGACAACTACTCAGACAGGATACAGGTCAGAACAAAGTTCACCATCAGAAACAACAAGATGTGTGCCACTCTGTTGATGATGTGCATGTACATTCAAAGAATACTGCGGTCTAGGGATGCTCCGATCGATCGGCCGTCGATCATTATCGGCCGATATTCACTCTCTCTATAAAGGCCGATCAGGAGAGCCGATCAGATGATGCAAAATACATGAGACTTTTCTCTGTGTGCGGCAAAACAAGCTCGCCAAAATGGCTTCACCGGTCTGGTAGTTTTTCAAGGTGTCCTACAAAGACAATAAAATAGCGGTATGCAACGTGTGTGAAGCAGAAAGAGAGAGAGAGAGGTCACGATCAGCTGACGGAGAACACGCAGCTCTACCTGATCACAGCCGCAGCTCCGCCCGCTGTGACGGACCGGTGAGCGGAGCAACACACACACTTCAAGTTAGAACACACTTAGCTATTTTATCTACCTCTGGAACTAGCTAATCTAGTTATAATATGTTTATTCTTTACTGTCAGGTCACTAGTTTGTTTGAATGTAATAAGTATGTTGTTTGTGGAAGTGCATCATTTATTGAAAAATTAATCTGAACTTTTCGATCTGTTACGATTATAAACTGAAGCAATATAAAAATGAGCCCCATTAACTGAGTTTTAAACATCAGCATATATTACCGGTCATAGTCCGGTAATTACCGGCTAACAGAAACTCTGATACACAAGTCACAATACTTTATGGAAGATCCCCATAGCCCCCACCCACCCTGTTTCATTTCATTTCATTTCAAACCTTTATTTAATCGGATTGGTCCCTTGAGATCATAGATCTCTTTTTCAAGGGAGACCTGCAGCGTATAGGTTCCACATGAAACATAAAACAATAAAGGACATCATACATTATATTTACAGGATACATTTACATAGTTATAGACATTTACAAGTGGCCATAGTATCAACGAGCATTTCATTTAGCCTAGCTTTAAAAACATGCAGAGGAATGAGATTGCTCAGTTTCAATTCTTGCCTTACCTAAGACAGTCCTTGCTCTTGGCACATCTAACAAAACTACATCATGCGATCTCAGACAATAGCTGCTTGCAACTCTCTGTGTTATCAGAGAGCAGATATAATACCGGAGTTTACCCAACAAAGCTTTATAAATAAACATGTACCAATGACTGAGCCTCCGTACAGTAAGTGATGACAAACCTGCCTTGGCATACAGAGTACAGTGATGTGTAAGTGCTTTACAATTTGTGACAAATCTCAGATTTGATCGGATCGGCGATCGGTATCGGCCGATTCTGATTCCGGTGATCGGCCCCAAAAACCCTGATCGGAGCATCCCTACTGCGGTCCCCTTAAATATTCTGATAACTTGGGCTTCTAAACAAATGTCACCTCGGTATAAAAAGACATCATTAGTACCTCTTGGTTATTTTAGAAAGCTACACAGCTAAATGTGTTGATTACTTGCAACACAGCTTCCTCCATCCTCAAATTCCTCCATTTTGTGTCAGAACCACAAATGAGTTGCATCAAAGTTCACCAAGATGAACTCCATGTGTTAAAACCACACAACAGTTGTATTGTATTTGACCTCTTTAACCAATTATCTATTTACCAAACATGTAATTAAAATCACATGATTTAGGGTTTTTAGTTCAGAAATCCTTTATTAGTCCCACAACAGGGAAATGTACAGTGTTACTGCAAATGTTGATAGCAGATACAAAAAAAAGAGACATGAAATAATAAAAAAGTAAAGCACACAAAAAAAAGACAAATAGGTACACAACCATGGCTAAATGGAGTAGCAGTATTTTCAGTGAGGGACATACTGTAGATGGCATTGAAGTGTTGTTACCTTAAAAGAATATAGGTTAGGACATTTATAGAGTATTTTCGATATTAAAGTGATTATAGCGCCGTACAAAATGCACATAGTGTTTATTTTGTACAGGTTTATTGTACAGGATTGCAAGAGTCTCTATTGTTGATGCTTTGAACGAGCCCCTCTGCTCTAAATCATGCAACATGTGGCTGGCATGTTCCCCCTTTTTTTAACCTCTTATTTGTTATATCCAGGTTCTGCAGAACATGGTGCACTGTGCAGATCTGAGTAACCCCACTAAGCCTCTCCAGCTGTACCGGCAGTGGACGGACCGCATCATGGAGGAGTTCTTCACCCAGGGGGACCGAGAGAGGGAGAGGGGCATGGAGATCAGCCCCATGTGTGACAAACACAACGCCTCAGTAGAAAAGAGCCAGGTAACACACACACACATATCTGCTATACATGCATAATGTGCATAGATAAGATAAGATAAAGGTCACCTATTATGCAAAAAGTATTTTATACATAAACATGTGTCCCCTCTGTGTAAAGAGATTCTGAAAGTTTCAGGAACAAAGATTCGCTCACTTGATCCATTTATATAAAAACCTGTCTGAAAATGAGCTGATGAGATTTTGGCCACTTTATGATGTCATAACAATTGTTTTGGCTTGTGTAACTTCCCCCCCCCACCTTATCACCTGAATCTCCTCCTAGAGCACCATTGTGTTCTTTTTAACCAAATATCTCTCAGAGGGGCGTGGGGAGGGGCTCCTTATTTTCATCTAAAGTATCAGACAGAGAATCAGCTCTTTTGGAACAGGGCTGAAACAGAGGGGATTATGGGATGCTGCAATGATCTCTTTAGGCGCGTTCACACCGCAGTACTTTTCCCACTTTAGTTCCGATATAGTTCCGAAATGTTGCGTTCACACCAAAAAGAGCCGGAACTAAAATTAGTTAATGAGAACCTTTTCACCCCCTTTTCCGTCCCTGCTAGAGAGCAGGGACTTTCGTGGGAGAAAAAGGTTCCTGTCTGATTGGCTGGGCGGATTGCAAACCACGCCCCGTAAAACTCCCAAAAAGTTTTGTGAAGCCGCCATTTTATTATCCTCTCATTAGCATTATTATCATTAGCATTAGCCCAGCGCAGAAACGCAGAGAGACTAACTTATGGCAACACAAAATAAAACATGGGAGCGGTGGAGATGAGGAGGTGTCGGCGTTCTGGCGATTTACTCGGTAGGCTTCAGTAGAAGCTGCTGGGAGTCCCAGCAGCTTCTACTGAAGCCAGTCCCCAACTCCGGGGACTTCCGGCCGGGGACTTTGGGCGGCAGTATACGCCGTGAAGTGGTTTGCGGCCTGCCAGTAAACCCAAAGCAGAAGAAGAAGAAGAAGTGACGTCAACGGCTTCATTTGCCTAATCCTCCCCCAGGGACTTATTCCAGTGTGAACGCGATCTGTACTTAGTTCATGAGAACTAAAGAGTTCACATTAACTAAGTTCTCATGAACCTTTGTGGGAAAAGTACTGCGGTGTGAATGCGCCTTTTGGTATTTGGAGCCAAACACTTCAGAGACATGTTTTGTATATCTGAGACCTATAATATATTGATGAAAAACAGTATAATAGGGGACCTTTAAGAAGTGCTTTATTGATCCCAATTGGGGGAATGTTTGCGCTGCAGCAGCATAAAAAGACAAGGCATTGTACATTAGAGAAATTAAAAGACTAAAAATAAACAATCCAAAATGTAAACATCTCAAATGGAAATAAAATAGCAATAAAAATGTAGAAAATATACATGTTGAAATACAAATTTACAGTAACAAAATATAAAGCAGGATATTATACATTAAGTGTGTAAGGAATGGAATATTAAACAGATAAAATAGACACACTGGATGACCTATTTCCCCCCATTTACCCCATGTAGGTGGGTTTTATAGACTATATCGTCCACCCTCTGTGGGAGACGTGGGCGGACCTGGTGCACCCAGACGCTCAGGACATCCTGGACACGCTGGAGGACAACAGGGAGTGGTATTCAAGCACCATCCCCGCAAGCCCCTCCCCCACCCTGGACGATCCCGAGGATGGAACGAGACCTCCAGGAGGGGACAAGTTCCAGTTTGAGCTCACGCTGGAGGAGGACGGGGAGTCGGACACTGAGAAAGACAGCGGCAGCCAGCCGGAGGAGGAGGAGGAGGAGGAGGAGGAACTAGAAGATGAGGATGATGATGAGGATGAGGAGGAGGAGGATGAAGACGAGGAAAACAGCTGCACTGACTCTAAAACACTCTGTACGCAGGACTCTGAATCTACAGAGGTTCCTTTGGACGAACCGTTGGGGGACGACGAGGAGGAGGAGGTAGTGGAAGAGGGGGAGACACCCTGCACACAAACCTGTGTGGTGGAGGAGGAGGTAGCAGAGGAGGGGGAGAAAGAGGAGCCCCCCCACACATAGCAGTGTCTGGACAGCACCTGATTAACTGTTCTTCTTAGTAATGACAGATGATTATTTATAGAATATTTTTTGGGTTTCGTGGAGTTTGTGTTTTTTATACATCTTTGTGTATGGTTCCAAAGCGTGCGCTGCTCTTCACCTTGGCCACTCCTCCTGTCCGCTTCGTTCAGACACCGGTACTTCTTCAAGTTATTTTGCACTCAGGAAAACTCCTCTCCATTCCCCTTTGTACTAAAGTGGTGTGTCCTTATTTCTCTTTTCGGCCTCCCCTTTACAGGCTTAAGTTTAGAACATGGACTAACAGCTCTCAGTCTGCTCATAGCTGTTCACACGATACATAATATCACATGTTCCTTCCCTCCGCTTCGGCTCAGCATTGCCTGAAAGTTTAGCAGTATTTCTGTGTTTTATCAAGTGCCCATACTTGTGGTTATCAGTGTGTTCAAGGAGAATCTCCCCCTCGGTTAGGTCACTCCCTCCCTCTGGGAATTAGGAGGCATTATATGCTGCCGTTCTGCTGAAAACCCGACGGGACAGAGATGAAAGCTGCAGCACACGGGGAGCTTTTCGAGACACACGTTTCTGATGTGGAAGTCTTCCTTGAAAACCTGACTGATACAAAGCTCAAATCTGAACAGCTGAGATGCTGTCCTAGACCTCTTTAATGTTTGTATCGTACTGTATGTAAGATTCAGATATTTTCTAGAATTTACTTTTGCAATCCTAGGCTTTGTTTTGTTAGCAGAGAGGATTAGAGGACCAATGGGAAGACATGTGTCACAGATATTCAGTGTTTTGAAGGGGTATCTTCACCGCTGGATTACATTAGGAGTGTTTGCACTTGCTCCAATAGCATTTAAACTACTATTACCATGCCACTATACCCATATTCGGTTAGTCCTGTGAGTGAAGCTTTGAAATTATTCATTACAACTATTCGTTTGGTGAGAGTTTTCACTGAGAAGGAGGCGGGACGTTACTGTATGCTTTACTTGTATTGAAATTTGGATGAAGCCTTTATATTTTATTATTGTTGCCTGCAGTTCTTTTGAACACATCCTGAGACAATGCAATGCTTTGTAGTTGATACAAAAAGCACCTTTTTTTTAGAAGCTTGATTAGTGCTTGGAGTATACAGAAATACTGTAGTAATGGTGAGTGAAAACTACTGGGGTGATTTTATACCAATGTTATGAAAGCTTTTACTCTCCTTTCTTTTATTTTGCTCATTAACAGTGATGTACTTATCACCATCAGCTGCTTGTTTTCAGCTTCACTTCATTTTCTATTCGGCGGCATGAATTTATTTTGCCAACACAATTAACCCAGTTGCTGTCTTTGTTTTCGACAAGACAATCAGCTCCGTTGCATAGTCTTCAGATAAGACTATCCTCTACGTAGATACTCTTGATGCACTGATATATTCATATATCACCACTTTAATATTTGTAATGTTTCAACTCGCCAAACCCCTCACTCATGAATATTTAGGCTAGACCAGTGCTGTCTTACACCTCGTCCAAGACTTGCTTCTTTTTTTCATGTTTTTTTTATTTTTCACTTAACACCTGATGCTATTATTTATTGGTATATTTTGTATTTATTTTTTGCAATATAAAGGTGGTACAGTAAATGTTTGACTGTAGCATAGACCACAGTGCAGGCTTGGCTGTTACAATACTCAAATATCCCTTTTATTTCTCTGTGTACATAAAATATAGAAAACCCACAAATGTTAAAAAAAACTAAAAAACACTTGAAATACTGCACACTGCTTTTTTTAACAAGTGTTCATCATTTCAAAAGTTGATTTTATCTTTCATTTTGTGCCAAGTTTTTTTTTCCTCTTTTTTCATCCTCACCCAATGCCCTTACCTGTTATAAAATGTTCTGGTTTTATCGCTGTTTACAAACATATATTTATTGTGCTGTATATAATATATAATTATTAATGTTATTACTATCATAATGCCGTTTGTTGTAAATGGTCGATTCTTATCATCCCTTTTGGTGATGGTGTGGCTGTATTACGTACCTCTTGTTGAGAGAATGTTTATAACAGATGAGCTTTGGTGTAAAAAAAGATCCACGGACATGTTGCTTACCTGAGAAGTAGCTCAGTGAAGAGAGGGGGAAAGCCAAATTGTTTTTTTAAAGAAACTGTTCCTTGGCCCATGGGCTGTGCCTTAAATTCAAAGCATGTCATTTACTTTAGCCTTTTTTTCTATTTGATTTCCTAGTTCTCTTTTGCTGCATCAGTGGATCTTTTGGCTTGGGTTGGCCTGACCTCCTGCTGTGAGTTTGAAAATGTTGCTTTTTTTTCTCACAGCCAAACACATATTTATCCATCAAAAATGTGTTCCTGGGTAAAATGGTGCAGGATTCAGGTCAATCACAAGCCATAGATGTACTCCCTGAGTGATGTGTGGCCTAAAGCCGGATGTCCAAGAGTCGTATTTGCTGTAGACCTGGTGTGAACAACTGGCACTTCCTTACGCCCTGACACTACACTCACTGTGACACACCCGCTGGGATGTAAACGATACAGGAGTGACTTTGTCCGTGCAGAGGTACTGCAGTGTCGTCTCCATGCGTGTGGGAGTCTCACAGCTACAAACACTGAACGGGGTGCAACAGGAGTGTGTCCCGCTGCTCAACCACAGCCTACAAAGCACAGAGTCTTTGAGACACATCTGCATGTTCAGCCACTGCTGCATTAATTATGGCTGAAACACTGACGGTGTGTTGCTTATCTATGCTCGGCCCACACTTTCACTCACATGACTTGCAATATCCAAAACCACTGACATCTTTATGCCTGGACGGGAGAAGGGTTTAGTTTATTTCTGTAGTGAGGGGTGGGCTTGGGGGGGTGGGCTCGGGTAGGGGTTTTGAGTGCATCTTTGTCCAAAAACAGGGACTCTTATTTTGACACACATACTGTAGATTCTAAACAGCCCTGGACCAATGGAAACAGTGGGTTCTTTTATCATTATGTGTTCTATTTTTTATGGTATGAAAGGAAAACACAAACTGTAACTTAAAAAAAGGTCTTCAGGACAATTATTTTTTTGGGTTATGTCTTTAGAATGCCAACTTGTCTGGAAGTTTCACAGGACAATTAAAATGTTATTTTAATGGATTCCTTGTTAATTGCAGTCTATTGGATAGCACTGTAGATCATACAACTTTATGTAAAAAACAAATGAAAATAATGAAAAAAAGGTTTTTATATGCAATGGATTAAATAAAAGCATGGGTTGATTCTGCCTACTCACTGGTTTCTTCATGTCATTGTTTCAGAGGGTCATACCATGCATACCCCATGCATTTGTTTCACAGAGAAAACGTAATAAAGCCTGAAAGTACATTTTCAATAACATTGTTTTGGGTTTTGGCATTTTTTCATACCCAAAGCCAATCTGTATGTTTTCTTGTTCTTCTGCTCTAAATATATTCTTTATTATTGACATGATCCATAGATCTATATTATTACAATTTTAGAAGATTGCTGTCACCACAGCCTTGATACAAAAAAAAGAAAAGGCTGTGATTGGCATGTATTGTCACGTTTCATTTGTATATCTAAAGCAGTTGCATATTTATAATAGCTTTTTTTTTTGTATTCATCCCCAATCAAAGATATCGTACAAAGTGCGTTAAATATATACTAAAATATGTTGTATGTGATAATCAGTTGTGATCAATATGCCTCCTCCTGACATATTAACATGTCACAAGAAAGCTGGTCAATTGTGTTGACACAAAAATAGAAATTCAGATTCTTAACTTGAAAAATCTCTGGTGACACCACTGCATTCAAATATATGAATATGTTTGTATAAGGACAGGGGAAATAAAAACAAAAATAACGAAATTACAGAAATATTCCTCCACTGATCACAAAGGGGGGTGCCTGCCACAGCTGAGAGCTGTGGAGGAGAGGAGGTCTCACTCTACTACTGAAAGAGAAAGAAGTGGAATCTGATCCGGTTTATGCACCAAGTTGGGTTTTGGAGGACTTAATCCGGTCAACCAGGCTGTTTTTGGAAGTTAACTGAAGCCAGGAGCTGGTGGGATGAAACAATTCAATCTTAAACATCATCTTTTGACCTGCATCTGATCTGTGATCTGGCCTGCTTGGACCTCAAGCTAAGTGTCTCTGCCTCTTTAGATATTTACATTTCCTCGACCTAAAACCCTACAAACCTGCAACCACTCACCTCACTCCGCCGGTTGGACTCTTCATTCATACACATTTCATACACATATCCACCTGAACTGCACTGGAATTTAACTGGACTACTTTCACAGTGTAAAAGGACAATACAAACTTTTAACATACTCATTCACACTCTCGCAATTAATTAATATATTTGGTTTTTGCATCTTTTGCTTTGTGATGTATTAATTATAATTTTGGTCAAATACAGACATCTTATTTTGATAAAGACAAATTGATTGATCTGCTGATTTTGTACCTTCCGCTGCTCGGTCATCGGCCATCTGTTTATTTAAATTGACCTTTTAATTTTTGCAAATAAATATTTTAAATATTCTTCTGTCTGACGCCCAAATGTAATGTCCTACTTTTGGGATAAAACCAACGCTGCATGTTACAACTGTAACATTAACATGTAGAGGAGTAATGATAACATTCAAGTGAATTGTTGGAAAGTGTACATACAAATGAACTGAATATTTAAATACCAATCTTCAAAGTACTTTCTGTAAAGTGCTTTACTTGAGTAAATGTATTTACAACTCAGGTGTCATATTATTGAATGTTAGATTATTATACTGAAGCATAAATATGTAAATGCAATTGTTATGCTGTTTAGGCTCAATGTACCTCTACTGTTGGGTAGTTTAATGCACAGACATTTATTTTTGGTAAACACTTAATTGTAGATTAACTAATTAAAATAGCTGTCAAATAAATGAAGAGGAGTTAAAAGTCAAATGTAAAATGTAGTTAAGTATATAAAGTGTAACATACAAATATGTATTTTAGTACACTATTTAAATGTACTTTCCATCACTGCATTTGAGGCCAGTGCAGTATAATGTCCAACACTAGGTGGCGGTCACTGCCCGTGAATGGAAGGAGGCGTCAGCGCTGCAGAGACAGCAACGCCGGGTCAGAAGGCAGCACGCGCACACACGCACGCACACACACACTGCCCTCCTTCATACTCCTGTAGCGTCATCAGAGACAGAGAGAGAGAACACGGACACCCACTGATAGAATCTGATTTATTTCCTATAATCTGAAAAACATACATCTTACTTTGCTTGCACTCTGAGAAACATATATATTCAGTTATATGTAAAGTCATAGAGTTCTAAAATGACATTTGACCAGAGTGACATATCTATTCCTCTATTAAATGAATCTTGACCGGAGATCAATACAATAATTTATTTCATGGCTACTGGCTTAAAATGATAATATCACATACATACACAGATGCACACGCACAAAGCACTTGTACACACATATGCTTTGAACTTGTTTGTGTATCCCTTTTCTTAGAATTACAACAGAATGGCATATGGCATGGACTAAGATATCTCCCTGACTATCTTTCACAATAACACTGCATTTTGACATGATAATACAAGATCAATCAACACCCAACAGTTAGCAGGAACAGCATATAGTACGTGAATACATTTGTACAAAAGGTATACACAAACAATACACTATAATACGGAATTTGTCAGTTCAATATGGCAGGTACACACACACACACACACACACACACACACACACACACACACACACACACACACACACACACTAAGTCAAACATTCAGAGGCTGCAATTACCATGAAGCACACACTCGCTTTTTTGAAAGAGATTGTACATCAGTTTCAGAGCCTTTCTGACCAAACTCACTCACACACTGCAGATAGAGTCATTGTACTCGAGCACAGGAGAAACTATGTACAGGGTTTCATTCATAAAATATTGCACTTATTGGCCCATTGCATCTCACAGCACGTGCTATGATGATGCGTCTAAATCTGTAACACAGAGTGATATATACACTATCTTATTATATAAATCTACATAGATAACTGGTACATGCAATTTTGGGGAGTTTTTATTCAACTATGCAACAAACAACTGACGATGCTAAAAGGAACTGTATGTTTTGGCACAAATGTGTTTTTTAAATTATTGTAGAGTAGAACTGAAAGGATTTCTGCAATGTTTGGACTTAAGTTTAAGACCACTGCAGTGCTGTATATGCCTTCATCCATATTTTAGACTACTGTACATCTATGTTTTCTACGCAGCTTACTCAGATTCAAACATGACATTTTAGCATGTTGAATTAAACAATATTTTGTTATTTATATGGCTGTTTATTCCATGCCAGAGCTGATCAGTTGTTGTATAGCATACACTGTGCGGTGCCTTGTCAGTGTGACATTGGTGTTAAATGAAAGGCTGATAATTGCTATTATATGAAGTCGAGGATGTTAGGGATCTATCTCTAGATAGAACAGCACATATGATTTTTTTGGCAGCATGCTCATTGCATCAAACTATAAAGGGTAATGTTAGAGGCTAAACACATACGAATAGTTGCTTTTACGATTTACAGCTATACTTATCAGGGAAATCACACATCTACAGACAGCAAAAACATGGAATACTACTCACATCGACATTAAACGTACTTGATTCATTCAGAAAGTTAGCATGACAGAGGAACTTACAGAGGCCGTGTGGGAGATGCTAAAAGGACACTTTTTATCCAAGGTAGATGATTTTTTTAGATGACAAAGTTGCACTCATTTGCGACTCAGAGATAACACTCACACTCATGCAAACCCACACTCACTTACTGTACAGTCACACAACAGCCACACACTCATTACACAAAAGAAAGTGGCTACGTCCTATAGTGCACTAAATCATGGATTTGGCAGCTTTAGGAGACAAAATAATTCTAGAAAAAGGAAAATACATCATGTACAAAAAATTAAAATTAAAGCATTCACTGACTCACTCCCTCATTTATAATTATTCTAGGTCTTAAATATTTTAAAGGTATTTCCCTCATTATGAATCATACTTGGTTTATGACCATACTAACTAGTTGAAGAATGAGAATATTGTGTCTCTATATTCTAGATATCCTGTGATATTACACATTTTACAATAGCCATGTCTGGTTGTCTGGTTATTTGCTCTTGATATAAGGTGATAAAGTTAAGAGTTAATACGACGGCATTTTGTAATTCTACTACTAAACAGGGTTTGAGCTGTAGTCCAGAGGAAGCAGCACTAGCAGGAGTGATAAGGGAGGACAACACTGTGCACACTCTACCAGCTGACGGACCTGCGCTGCCCTGCCTCTGCTTCCTGACACCCGTCACTAACAGTTGCATCCGGACTGCTGCAGGGGCGGAGCGCTGTCTGTGAGTTTGGCAGTGGGAGCTCCTGTGGTGACGGCCGGATCCGAGTCCAAGCTGTCGGACATCTTGTCACAAATTAGGTCGACGAGGCGTTCAAAGGTCTGCTTGACGTTGACGTTGTCCTTGGCGCTGGTCTCGAAGAACTCAAAACCTTGGAGAAACGGAGAGCAAGTAACGTGAGAAAAGATAGGGCAGACTAAAAATATGTTTTAGGAAAAGCTATGATCTTTATTTGAAAGAAAGCTGCTTCTATGTAGCAGTATTGTATGATACATTAATACTTTATTGTCAGATTAATTAATTACATGCATCCCTTTCACAGTATTTTGTATGACACCCAAAAGGCATTAGGGTTAAATGTTGCTCCAAGGCTTACCCAATTGTTCTGCCAGCAGTCTGCCATTGTCCACTGACACAACCCTCTCCTCTTCCATATCACACTTATTTCCAGCCAGCACCACCTGCGCATTATCCCACGAGTACGTCTTTATCTGGGTTGACCTGAACGCAAAAAAGAAAAGAAAATGAATCACAGTCAAATAAATGCTATTGCTGCGCTCTTAGACATCATCTCAGGATCGTTTTTGTTGGACAGGATTCTAAAAGATACTAAAATGTGGCAAATCCTAAAAGATTGCAGACCTTCTTTCGTAATGAGAAATTCCTATTTGGAGCAGGCATGAACGATGATTCCATCACTTTGTGTTTGGCGTTGGGAAATGTAATGAGTCACGGATGGCGGCAGTGGAAAAGTAGGTCAATTCTGGTCTGTGCTGAAAACATGTCATTATTTCTCAGATATAGGTTAAAATGTGCTATTTTCTACAAATGTGTCATTGATATTTGTCATATACATTGCTTTTCCTCCCTTTCCTTTAGATGTCATTCTTTGGCTCCTGCTAACTTCTGATTGGTAAGTCATTAACTGTATGTGTTGAAGATATTAGTCATGGTCACTGACACGACATATGGGAAACGTTGGTTTATTACTGAGTGAATCAATATTTGAGGACTGTGTCTTTAGGCCAGGCCAAATTAGTTCATTATTTGCTAGATACAGTTAATGAAATGAGGCATTGCATTTTCCAGCATGATAACAACAATAATTAAATGAATCACTGGAGAGGTTCCACACTGTTCTAACTTCCAAACTCATTTTGAGAAAGCATTTAGGGAACAAATATCTCCTGTGGTGTTGCAGTCTGACTAAAAGTAGGGCAGCTAACGCACCACGGGCTGCAAACAGCAGAGAAAGAGCCAGTAAGAGAGAGAGGAAGACATGAGGAGTCAGGAAGAGAGCAGCATCATGTTGGCTCTCCTCCCTCTGTCCACTTCTGACTTGTTTTAGTGTTTCATAATGTTCTGTCTGAGACACATTGTGTTTGCATATGCAGCCTATACAAGATAAGATTGACTCATGCTTTTTGGAACAATGTAGTCTATGGAGAACAGAGGAAAAGAGCAACATGGAAAGTAAATGCTTGGAGATTGTTGCCATAATAAAATGTCTTATGTGCAGCGTTTACATTTGATGTCAGCATTACAATATTTCCCTGTTTTGTCTCGGTCACAGGCAGGAAATGAGCACGTTACAGGCTTAATTCAGCCACAGTCGGTCGGGGAAGGAGACGTTGCCATGGCAACCTCTTTTTTCTACAACCTTGTCACAAGGAACAAGGGAAAGAGAAAGTAGAATTGAAGCCCTGTGGCAAAGGCAAAAAAGGAGAATTGTGGCTACATGAAGGGTAAAAAGGGCCTCTCTTGTACACAGCTGAATGATCTGCGCACTGTCTGCTAGGTAAGCACACAGGTCATTCTCTCAGATTAACGCTGGCCATGAGAAAATTGGCCAAATACCCACCACAGACAGTACACACTAACTATTCCATTAAAGTGTCGAAGAGGCCATAAAAGGTTAATAGGTGGGTCTGGCTTCAATCTCTCTTACAAAAAGACTCTTCTTAATCACTGGAAATCTATATCAACACAAATCAGGCAGATGAGGTAGATAATTCAAGCTAATAAAAGTGCAGCATCTCACTATTAACCCTGACCTTAAACAACGCAAGCGAAAGAACACCAGGCTTTGAAAACAGTATGTGCTTACTATAAATGCAGCTGCTCTAACCATGACAGGTGCAATCTGAAGCAGCTGTCAAGCGCTGCTAGTTCAGTGATGAGGGCCGAGTAGACACTGGCCTTAATACTGACTGTCAGAAATATGGAATGCAGGTCAAGTGTCAACGGCAATGAGGATTTGTTTTTTCTCCTACAGTATAGTCTCCTTCGGCTGAGATAGATACAGCAGCTGTAGGACCTCATGTTATAAACCACATTTCTTATCACAACATTATGTGTAGGGTCGAAGTGTAAAAAAATCTAACCACATATATTTCTAATTGAAGTTCCTCTTTCTTTCACCAAATCTTCCTAGCTGTTGTGCTGTGCTTTTTTTGCTCGTTTCTAGAGCAGCAATCCTGACCCAGAAGCCTGGTTTTTGCAGCCATTTCAACGTGGCCTTCCAAGTCCTTTTATAGACACGGATGCATCATAATGAACAACATTTAGGCTTGGCTCAGAATTGCTCTTCAGCCTGCAGACTCTGTGTGTGACTCATGAATGGACGAGCGCCATGACCTTGACAAGTTTCCCTAAGATCTCCAAGCCTGACAAAGATGCATGCACGAAACATAACAACACTGTCACATAACAGGGAGAGAGGGAAGGGCGGTATCTGTTAGGGATCATTTCAGATTTGTCTTGGAAAAAAGGACAAACCATGTACAATATGAAGTCAGCATGATATCAACACATTTCATTATAGCAACAAATAGGAAGTCCTTCTACTGTTAATCTGATTCTCATAATAGAACAATATATTCCAAAGAATACAGATATTATAATTTACATTTAGAAGGAAATTGTCTTAAACAGCCCAACATGAACTCACCAGTCCTGCACAGCGCCGAAGGACTCCTCGTTGGTGATGTCGTACATGAGGATGAAGCCCATGGCCCCACGGTAGTAGGCAGTGGTGATGGTCCTGTAGCGCTCCTGGCCAGCTGTGTCCTACACACACACAACATGATTTAGCACCGCTGTTAGCCCACTGACTGTTATTCACACTGTCAGCCTCGGCAACATCGACATGACCCTGCAAAGCACATATATGCAAGTCCATAATGATAAATGAGAACCCACATACATAATTAATCTGCAGCTATTTATACATACAGTACTAAGAGATTCTTCAGGTCAAATCCGAGCACAATTTAGGATCCACACTTTAGATTTACTTATGGCTTTGTTTGTTGTGTTTGATGTGTAAATAATCATTATGCTCACTGCCTCACTGGCTTTGCATTGAT